CTGAAACCGAGACGCAAGCGAGAAACCAGCGGAACGATTCCTTAAGAAAAGTATCGTTTTCGACAGTTGGATTCGGAGGTAAGGATTTGTAGATTTCGAACGCGTAAAGGCTTCTTCCAGACGATTGCGCGTTCAAATCGAGTTGAAATTTTCGTGTACTCTTGCTGTGAACAATAAGTATAACACGTATTCTCGACAAAGATATTTTTTAAACTCGATACAACCGGATTGACGGATAATTAAATTATTTATTTGTTTATTTGTCTGTTTATCTATTTATTTATTGATCTATTTATCTATTTATTTACTTATTCATTTGTTTGTTTGCTTATATATAATAATATATATACATTATATATAAACAAACAAACAAACAAACAAGTAAATAAATATATATAATATAAATATAATATAAATATATATATATAAATATTATATTATATTATATTATATATATATATATATAATTTTAACGAGTTCACATAACTTAAATAGAGTTATAGAACGCACCGGCAGAGTTGTATATTTGTTTTCGTTCGGTATTTCAGGTATCTCAGAATGATTTGTACGATTGCTAGACACGCTTGCAAAATATTTCTATCTACGAGCTGGAACTCGTTCGAACGAGAACCGGTCGAAGCACCGTTCCCCGAAGATTAATAAACGATCGGTTTATCGGTCGAGCGATCGGCGGGAGCTCCTACGACAGAGTACGTATTCCAAAAACTGTTTGAAGTCCGCGAAACGTCTGATAAGCATTTCGTTGTATCGTCGCGGCAGACCTGCAGACCAGAAGAGCATCGACCCTCGGGGATCGAAACGGAAACTCCTCTCATTCCGTTCTGACAAACAGGATCGGGGGCTCTTCTTTTTCTCGACTATACATAGATTAGCATTAGCGTGTGTGGCTAGAGCCCGAGGCGGCGAGATTCTTCTCCGGACCGCGGGAATTAAGGCCCCGAGCAGTAATTATCTACCGAAAATGAAAATTATAGAGAGCATTGTCGGGCCGGGCCCGCGCCGCGTTTCGGTAGGCCATTCTTTTCGGAACTTTTCCCTTTCGTGCCTCCATCGCCGATACTCCGTCGCGTAGACACGAAAAAGAAAAACCGAACCGGTTTAAATACGTCTGCGAGCCCGATTTTATTGTTTTACACGAACCATTTCGCAACTTTGCTTCTCGGAACAGCGAACGTTTCGGTTAGCGAATCCCCTCGATTTAAAAAGTAAAGCGGCGCGAACCTTGTCCCAAAGCTCTGCAGGCACTTTCGTTTCGAGTTCGATGAAGTATTGAAGATTGAGATAGTCGAAGGGCTGCATTTTTATTATTGGTACGGTTATATTGTTTTGGTCGATGCAATATCGCGCCGTGTTTCTCAGATATCCCTTGATATCGCTTCTACATCGTCGCGGTTTAAATAGACCAAACGACTGTTGTTGTTTTAATTACTCATGTAATTATTTCTAATTTAATTTTGTTATACTGTGCGGTAATATATAAAAATATCAATATATATAATTCAAAACTTCATTATTTTATTAACGAAAATATTTGTTATTAATGAACGGTTAAGTTAAACATTAATCTAGTACACTTTAGTACACCAATTGTCGTGAAAATCGTATAACGATTTCGTATGTTGTCCGCTGTTCGGGCGTTTTTGCACGCTGCAAACCCGTTTTATCGTGTCCAAAATTATTTTAGCGTCATTACACACAAGGCTGAGATCATAATATAGTAGATCTTTGAATTCGCCTCGGCATCTGTTATAATATTATCAAGTGAAAAATATATATATATATTTATATATATAATTATTTATAATTTTTTATAATTTTAATTTATTTTATAATTTATATATAATTTATATATTAATATTTGAAATTAATATTATAAATTTTTATATTAATTTATATATTATTATAAAATTATAAAATATATTATATATTATTTATATATAATTTATTTTATAATATATATATATATATATATATATATATATATATTA